AAAGAATTTGGCGGGAGAGACGTGTAAAGTCTAGGGACGATTAGCTAATGTTAGTAGCGCTACTAACGTGATCCGAGATTACAAAAAAAGGCGGCGCCTGGTAATCGAACTTGCATGTTTTGGTGAATACGAAATGGTTTCTAATACATTTTATCGTTACTCTAGACAATTGCTGTTACTCAAGCAATAATGGTAGGTATCATAAAAGTGGGGAAAACACTAGATAACCATCGAAAATATGGCTTTAAATGACATTTTATGCTGAAAAAAGTAAAACACGAGGTATACCGATTTGAAAATGTATGGAATTTTAAGGTTATGGATGTAATATTACTTTTGAATGTTTTCTTTCACAGAGAGGAGAAGAGCTAGTCTATCAGTAAGGAAATGTACAGGTAAGACACTCCATCGATATTAGATGTACAGCAATGTAGCCCCGTTTGCACATGGTAATGACCTAACAGGACAGTTTTATAATTTACTGGTGTGATTCACAGTGATTACATTTCAATTTAATCTTGTGGTTCCTTGATTCCGTTTGGTTAAATAAACATCGATGAAATTAATTTGTTTCTTTAACTGGCAGTGTAACACTTTTAGAATAACTTGCAGTTATGGCACAAATCTTAACCGCTCGACGTACTGTCTTGTTTTTTGGGACGTTGGGGGGAGTGCGAAAAAGGGGTGTTGCTATCCCCCGGGCGTGGAGGGAGGTCACGTGATAACGGTGACGATGAAACGTTCAATAACGTTAACCCTGACGTACACTAACTCCAACACGCCAACGAACTTAACCTCACACTAAATATTATGTATCTCTGCCACGCGCTATAACTATAGGCATTGTTATCTCACAAAAATAATCTATGGTGTGGGGACAGATATCATGATGCAAAACCTAATCCTAACCTAATCCTAACCCTCTCTAACCTATACCGCTAATCTACCCCTAACGCTAACGCCTAACCTATATCCTAACCCTAACTCTAAGCCCTAACCCTGACTCCTAACCTAATCCTAACACTATCCGCAACAACTAGTGCGCACGTTGCGGTCACCTCTCCTCCACGCCCGGGGATATGCATTACCACAAAAAGACTCGGCATTTTGAATTTTGGGGTCAAGGGTCAAAGTCAAGAGGTGTCAATGGAGGGGAAGCATTTCACTCTTAACTTAAGGTATAGGAGGAAATTACGGGAATCTGCGGCACAAATCTCAACAGCTTGACCTACACTTAATATTTTGTATGTATAGTGTGATGGGGAGGATAACGACCTCACCAAGCACGAAATTGAGGTCACAGGTCAAAGGGCAGTGGGGGAAAGGTCAGATATCATCACATTTTCTGAGGACATGGTCTAAGCGGACCGAGTGCAAAATTTTTTGTTTCAGCGCTGACCTACCATTTTATTATCACTTTATTGAAAAGACATGAATGGTACTTCCGCTGACGTACATAGAGTAAGTGCTTGATAACGCCTTATTTGACCCTCAAGAGGAGGGTTAGACATGGATTTGTTACTGTTGAAAAAGCACGTGAACTGCTTTTGCTATTAGAGCCCTTCCACCTGCCTCCCCCACCTCCCCCGCACCACGACACTACGCTCAGGCTCGCACATATAGTCAATGATAACATTGTTAATATAGGGAAGTCATTAAGGGTTACAAGCAGCGTAGTCATTTTAATTACTGTAGCTACGTATAGGCCAAAGCCTAGACGTCTATCAGCAGAATATGCGCGCGAACGCGCAAACGCTGCCTGGCGCAATCTAAGCATGACTTTCGCTGCCCCATTCCATCACCTTTCAAACGGGTTACATTATATAAGGCCAAGCAGTGCAAAGGCTCGCTGAGGGTTGAGCAGGTTCATGGCGATTGACGACGGATGTTCAACTACCCATGTAAGCTGACATTTGCTTGAAATGGCTCGTATAACGTTTTTGCTGACTCGGCCGCGCTCGGTTTGCTGTAAAAAACTGATTTGCACTATCTTCTTTTTTTGTTTCGTCTGGTTGATGAGTTCTAGTACATATGGCGTGCGATAGACGGCACAAGACGCGCAAGGTATAGGCGCATAGTAGACTGTCACCGTTCGACACTCTTTACGGCTGCGGCATTTCAGCTACCTCACGGTAGTTGTAGCGTGTGGAATCTGTGACGGGGTACCAGTCTATATGTCACATGGATTGATAGAATGCGTCTGTTAAACCATGGAAAAGTTCTTATTGTTCGTCGTTTTTGATTCGTTTAAATTTGACGAGCCGCAACTGAAAGGTGTTTTTCATCGAAGGTATCTAATTAAATAGGAGAAGTCGAATTTTGTTATGGCATACTAACGACGTATACAATAAGTAATGTAACAAGCATGATGCAGCTTTACAAAATTTGTTTCATAACGCGGGCGGTCTTGTGTCGTAGCCGTGTTGCGTCGAATCATGATCTTGCAGATGTCAGCCTTGATCTGTTGCAGTCATATCACTGTCATGCCAGTCTTGTCGGGTTATTGTACATTACTATAATAGTGACCGGGAGTTGTAGGCTTCGCAGTAGTTGTTAGCTGTTACGGCAGTTGCTGTATATATCTGATTCCATAGACTAGATAGATACGCTAAGGTGTAGGGGAGTGTTACGTGGGACTCCTGTAATTAGATCCTACTATATTATAATGGCTCATGTAATACAGAAATGAATCAAAATTGATATGTTCCAATTATATTATATATATACGGTTATTTTATACTGCCTATAGTCCTAGAGTCTTAACATATAATACGATGCTATTGCGATGTATGTGTTTGTGCGCGTTTGCTGCATGTATTGTGCTACGGTGTTCTCGGCTTTAGTTAGTCACTCGATGGGTAACGAGGTGGGAGCGATCCCAGTCTATATAGCCTTTGTCCTTGCAGCCATTTCCATTACTGGGCAAGGTTGGCAGACGGCGAGGAATTTCGTCCAGTTTCTTTCTTGATTTGGTCAACAGCTCGGGGGTTCTAACGAAGAGAGACATATGTTTTTATATAACAAGTGATCACTGTTCACTGTCCAAATGTCTACCCTTCTGTCGTCCCCCCCACTATAGAATTGGCGGGACTTGTTCGCGTGGCCAGCTTATGGATCGCGTGCTGGCCGCCAATTCCATTCGGCGGCAACGGGGATCCATGAGCTGCAGAGTCTGCATACCTGTCGTAGCGACGTTCCGCGGTCGGTGCGCTTGCGCGGAACTGCGGCGCAAGATTGCGTTTAGGCGCTTTGGATCAACACCTCTTTCGGCAACGGCTTCTCTAGGTATCCGTCTGCATCTGATCATAGATTTTAATCTGATTAGTAGTCGTCTAGATATATGCTCTGAGCGGCGAACGCGGTGACGGGAGCGCGCACTTGATGGTCGGTCTTGCTCATGAGCATTTATCAGAAAGAATATCCGTTACAGTACACCGTCAGTTGAGGCGCTGTCACTCTGCGGCAACTGTTTAAAACATTTAAACGACGAAATTTTATATTTTTATTTTTAAAATTGTATTGGAACTGCTTGAAATACACTTAGCATCCCACGTATGTTTTCGTTTATCTATGAAGTGGTTGTAGGCTTAGTTTTGACGCAGCTCTGAGGTTTTATTTTGTTTGTTAATACGTTGAACGCATGCATGTTTAACACTGCAGTCTCATCACACCCCTGTGCTCGAGATTTTGCAGCGTTTTCCCCCTATAGTCACTGATTACACAAAATTTTTGTTGGCAAGGTTTAATAAGCTCTATAAAATATATTTATAATTCATTGGCTAGTATAGTATAGATATAAATACTTACTCTCAGAGACATCAAAACGAACACGCCGTTAATCTATCACCCGTGTTCAATCATATCAAATACAAACTCTCAGAACATCAAAAACAACTTACAAACAACACGGCGGTCAAACGCCCTTTGCCGTGACGAAAACCATTACCTCAGTCCAAAAACTCGAAACACAGTTTCCTCAGAACGCTTCCGAAAGCCTCACAGCTCCAAACTCCGGTCCCAAAAAAAACGTTCCACAACAACAGTAAAGTATTGTATAAATTATGTCATCTACTACTGGGGTTTGATACAGTGACGCTGTTGAATTGTAAGCGTACAGCCGATGTGCCATCTATAGGAGAACTTTTTTTTTTTTTTTGGCCACGAGTATATTCGTGTTTTGTGGCTGTGCGTTTTGCAGGTTCGAACGAGTATACTCGTGCTTCGCGTTGAACGTGTTAAAAACAAATATTTGATATAGAAACCAATATTTTACCGACAAATTGTTGGAAAACTTGCTACCCTCTAATTTACTGTTTCAAAGTTTTTACAAATAGTTGTGTGACTGGATTCCTATCTAGTGTTTTACTTGAACGAAGCAACCATATAGTAGTTCATATAACATCAGTTTTATTTCCTCTCTTGCAGCTTCCTGACTTCAAAGATCAAGAATCAATGCAGCGATTCTTCTTACAAGAAGTGCAAAAAGGAGAGGAGTTATTGTCAGAAGGTAACCCTAAGAAACTAATCTTCAAAATACCTTTTTAAGGATACTCCACCTTTTGCATGGGTCTGGCTCTAATGAAGAGTAAACATCGTTTATTGACCAATGAATCGAATCAATCACACATTTTATCTATAGATGAGATGTATTCTCATAATAATGCTCAAGCCAAAAAATTTCGTAAAACTTCCAGCACCTAATGTGACATAACAAATTTTGGATTTTTATGAAAAAAGTATATTTTGGATATTTCTCAATTGCCACAATGAGTGTGAAAGCAAAATTTTCGCCGCAGGTTCTACAATTTGCACCAAAATCACCTGATGTTGGTCATCGAATAAGACTGAAAATGAAAAACCTTAAATGTGTTCTTAAAATCGTCATTTCTCAGGGGGCTCGTGCAACAGCCATTCCCTTATCTCCACACACCATTCCTCTTTATTCTGTGTCTTATCTCTGCTGTATTTCCTCTGCAAACATCTTTACAAGCACAATCTAGAGTGTTACTTTATTCCGTTTCAAGGGCTGTTTATTGCGTGCAGATTTGGTATGATAAAAAATGTAAAGACTAGAAGAATACGTATATATCTCAGGGGTCGAAATTAGATGTTTATTATGGTATCCATTCGGGATACCAGGTATTGAAATCTGGTATCCAACACAAGAAACTACTATTCCGCGGATATCGGGATACTGCTAATTTCGACCCCTGATATCTCCATTCTCCAGTCTCCGAATCATCACGCTGATGCAATTATTTTAATATTGCATGACTTTGCATTCATTGCAGGTAACTTTGAAGAGGCCGTGGAACACCTGAGCAACGCGATAGCTGTGTGCGGGCAGCCACAGCAGTTATTAGCTGTGCTTCAACAGACGCTTCCACCGCAAGTGTTTCACATGCTCTTGCAGAGACTTCCGGTTGTCAGTGCTGTAAGTGTTCAGACATGGATCAGCACACGGATCATCACACTCACGCGACAGAATTGTTGCAATAGAAACAGTGTGATGATGAAATATAAACACAATGTAATATGCATGTTACCATAATGACTAGTAAATAAAAACAAAAAACAAACACGGTGTAATGGAAAGATAACGCGCCTATTGCATTGCGTTTATATTTCACCATCAAACTGTTTCCATTTTGTTTTTGTTGTGAAGCCTGAGGAAGAGACGTTCTCGAAAGCTCGCAATATGAAAAATCGACACCTTATTCTATTTTTATATACAGTAAAACTCGCATAAGTCGTCATCATCTAACTCGTCAATTCGCCTAAGTCGTCATTGATAAGTCGTCATTAAGTACAAGTCGACGCCCTCAGACAGGTCCCATGTAATACAAACAACCGTAATTTCCCATCTGTAAGTCGTCATCAGAAATGGCGATGGCGCGCGCGCAGTGTACGGTCTAGGGGATGTGCGAGCTGGCTGTTGCAGCTTGCATCTTTTAGCTCGCACATCCCCCAGATTCCCCAGTGACAGTGTGTGCAGCCCAATGCAGGGTGCGAAATTAACACAAGTCCGGAGTCAAATGCTCCCTGATTTACTGTCGGACGCCCTGATTTGACATAATAATGCAGGAGTCTGTATGACTCCCTGAAAATTCTGCTATACTAAGTAGTTCGTTTCAGAGCACTGCATCGCCGAATTACCGTATTTTATTAGCAAGTGTTCCAAGAAAATTTGGCAGACAAGCACCGCAAATGTCCTGCAATGTCCAAACGTGGTGGAGGAGGAAAGGAGAAGGTGGTGGAGGAGGGGGAGAAGCTGGTGCAGAAGGAGGAAGGGGAGAAAGGAGAAGGTGGTGGAGAAGCTGGTGGAGAAGTAGGAGGGGGAGAAGCTGGTGGAGAATGAGGAAGAGGAGAAGGGAGAAGGTGGTGGAGAAGGAAGCCCCTTCCCCCTCCCTCTTCCTGTGACTTCCTGAAAATTCTGCTATACCAAGTAGTTCGTTCCAGAGCACTGCATCACCGAATTACCGTATTTTATCAGCAAGTGTTCCAAGAAAATTTGGCAGACGTGCACTGCAAATGTCCTGCAATGTCCAAACGTGGTGGAGGAGGAAGGGGAGAAGGGAGAAGGTGGTGGAGGAGGGGGAGAAGCTGGTGGAGAAGGAGGAAAGGGAGAAGGTGGTGGAGAAGGAGCAGGGGGAGAAGCTGGTGGCAGGCGTGCACCGCAAATGTCCTGCAATGTCCAAACGTGGTGGAGGAGGAAGGGGAGAAGAGAGGGTTGGTCGGTTGAGGGCAAACAAACAATATTTTTATCATGGCCCTACGTTTGCCATCTTATGGGATGCGATATTGCAATCCAGACGATTTTTGTGCCAGCTGAAAGGAGTTATTTTCATTATGCGTTTGTGCGAGTGCATGTGTTTAGCATTCTGT